CCCGGGGCGGGTCCACTTGGACGGTCAACGTGTTCGGAAACGGTGAAACGAAACTCCAAGGTGGGTTGCTGAACGCGCAGACCTCGTTGCTGAACATGACTTGATTCTCGGACCGATTCATAAACCCCCTCGCATTTGGAGTGCAAAACCTCTTCTACCTCTTGCGCACAGGACCAGACCTGAGTCGGTTCGTACCGTGCCGAAAAAACAGCGTTGCACTGGGTGGCCAAAGAAAAGCCCCCAAAGACACCCACCCCACGGGTGCTCCAACAAAACAAGAGCCATCGATTCATCCCTCCCCAGGGGTCTGATTCCAGCGCTGAAAGGAGTCCCTTCACCGAAACGCCCCAAACCACCTCAGAGCCGGTGATCTCAAAGGAGTCGCTCTTGTGGAAGCAGTTCAGCTTGTTACTGAGCAAAGCACCCGAAAGTCGGTCGAAGGTCTCCCCTGGTGCAGCATGGAAGGACGAACGGCCGTGGGAAACCGGCGCCGGCTCTTGGAGCGCCGTTTAGAACGTGAGTTCTTTCGTTTGGGGTCGCCCAAGAAATATGAGGAAACTGCCCACCACATGCACCAATGCCCACGGTCTCTTCCTGAAGCATGATGAGATCATGCTTGATTTTTTGCGGGGCCGCATGAGGGGATTACCCATTTCACCCGACTTACCCATGTCTTTGTTCCTGGCATTTCTGTGTCTGTGCCCGCACCCTACGGACTCCAGTGCACTCCAGTGCACTCTTCCCTTGGCGTCGGCCATTCATCACGGTGACCCTGTCAATCACTCAATTGGCGGCAACAGCTAAGCTGATGAGAATGGTCACTCGGCTGTTTTAGTTTCTGAATCGGCAGTTTTGGTTTCTGAATCGGGACTCGCTTGGTTTCTGAATCGGACCATTTGGTTTCTGAATCGGACCATTTGGTTTCTGAATCGGACTGCCTTGGTTTCTGAATCGTAGTTGCTGAATCGGCTGTTTTGGTTTCTGAATCGTAGTTTCCTGATCGGTTGGTTTCTGAATCGGCAAATGTCCGTCACTGGCGCAGCTGAGCTGAATCCCACCTCATCAAGCAGTTCATGCCCACTTCCTGGCATGGTTGAATCAACACAGCACACATTCACACGTATATACCCGACACCCACACCCACACTCAACGGCAAAAGGGTGGGACCCATCAGCCACCTGGCGTTCGACCGGACCTAAAGGGCCGTCTGCCTGAGGTCCAAAGCTTGGTTCTTGGAGCAGCAGACTCTGGCGGGGGGTGGCTTTCGTGATGTCCATCGGGTTAGTTAGGCATGAAACGGCGGGCAGGCTCAGGAGGCCTCAAAAACTCGGTGGGCCCTGTGAGGGGGCTCCAACATCCGCCGTTCGGGCCACACACGCCGAAAAGCTATGGCTATGCAACAGTTACTGCGTGCGTGTTGCTGGATCTGTAGGAGTCTGTGAGGAAAGTCCCTTCCTGAGAATCTGATTTGCGCATCACCTGATTCATCTTCACCATGTCGCCTCCTCCATCTGCTCCGGAGCCTCGCCAACGGTACCAGCGCCAACGGCCTGGCGGGTCGCGGGCCAATGGCGCGGAGGCGACTGTGGCCGTTACCCAGCAAATTCACCATCAGCCCATCAGCCCCCCTTCTGGGGCCCATCCGTCAGAGAGACCGTTGGGGAGCTTCTTCAGGTTTGGTTTCGGCGACTGGTCCGAAGCGAATCAGCAAGTCAAAGTGCGAAGGAGCGGGGCCGACCGTGACGGTCACCACGACCCGTGACGGGCAAGAAGGCAAGGACGGGAAGGGCGACGCTTCCAATTCTTGCTACTTAACAAATGAGACTATAAAATGTTTTTTGTCACTCTATAGTAGCAATGCACTTAGCTACTAGTAGCTTCTTGTTCCTGTTTAATGCCAGGAGCTACTAGTAGCTTCTTGCTACCATAGAATTCAAAACAAGGTCCTTGGAAAGACATCTGCCATGTCATCTGGGAAAGTAACAAGTTCTTGGTATGGTATTTGCCCAGTCCCTTTCCATCCTCATATCATCACGCAATGACCTGAGCACTTTTTCCCTAAACCACACAAACTGTGCGCCATATTCATTGGATCCTGTCTGTATCAAGAGCAAACTAGAAGCTAAAAGGCACTCCCGCGCAGATTAACATGGAACCCCAAAACCACTGGGTGAAAAAAGCGTGTTGCTTCTTGTCTTCTGGCACTTGTCGGCTCCCTGCTGCCCTTCCAGTTTCACGTGAGGGGATCAGACCTCAGGGTGCACTTTATACTTGGATCTTCCGACTGCGACACTTTCCCAACCCGGACACCCATCCCGCGCCGTCTGCGGCGGCGGCCGGCAAATGTTTCCCATCTCCTCGAAGTGGAATGGATACGACAAATACATGAATGTGTATCATGATATTGGCATAGGGAGACCCCCCTTTGACCCAATGGCTTTTGCCTCTATGGTTCCGGCTTCCAGGGGGTCCAGGGACAGTGTCCCTAGCCAAACGTAGTTTATGAGCTGTTGTTCTGGCCGGACATGCAAGTCTCACGGGATGTGGTTACCCTGGTTCTATCCTGAAAGCGCCTAAAGATCATTGAGTTGAGTTGATTCGCCATTACAAAGATCCTAATCAAGGATCCTTGGTTGATCCTTGATGTCCGTCTCTTCCTCTCAGTTTCACCCGTTTGGGCCATCTCCTCGGCAGTTCTCGGCGGAGACCGCGCGATGCCGGACGCCGATCACAGCTCCGAGCCAAACGAAGGGTGTGGCAGTCGTAGGTCGAACCAGTCGTCGGTTCTGCGGGAGGTCGACATGTTGAACTCCAAGAGCTGAGGGCCGTGCGGATCTTCATTCCGGAAAAGGCCCAGAGGTCTGCCAAATCCAGCTTGGGCGACTCGGTGAACTGGTGTAGCTGACGACCCCCCTTTGGGTGCGAAGCAAGGCAAAGAGTCTAGCGGTGAAAAAGATAAGACCTTGCATGTGGGAGATGCGCCTCCTTTTCAAAACGCGCCATGCAAAAAGCAACAGAACTTTGAAGGAATCATTGGCAGACAAAGTCTGACCGCTACCATCTTAACAAAGCTGCAATATCAGGTTCCAAACCCAAACCAGCCAAGTTCACCAGCCCCAGGAGCGAATGAAATGAACATATTTAGGAGATCTATTTGGAGATATATACAGACAGGTACAGTAAATGCAACAGTATGCATATAGTTGCTCGACCCTCAACCCGTGTCTTCAAGAAAATGACTTGGAGCAAACTCAAAACTGAAGGTTGTTGTGAGAAACCAAGATGTTGTACATCTCTTTCAGAAATCCACTTCTCTCCGGTTGATACCTGATACCCACACGTTGAAAAAGGTGGCCGGATCCAGATGCATCAAGCGCTGCCGTGTTCTTGCTAGATTGGACAGGTGTAGCCACTGTGGCCCTTTGGCCTTTTGGAATGTCCTCGTCATGTCCAAATCCATTCATAGCTGTGCTAAAGGAAATCTACAGGACATGTCCTATTTTCCTACTCAAATAGAGGTGTGCCAGTTGATTTTGCATGCAAAAAGCAAAAAGGAACGCAGCAATCATCAATGAATCATAGACTCTGCTAGAAAAGAAGATCCAAAAAGCACACTACTCTCCCAGTCCCTGGTACCATCCTTTTCTCCGCAGAGCGCGCTCGCACAGAGAGATGCCACTCATGGCCTATGGTCAATCGCGGTGTTGGCGCGGCGGGTCGTAACCGGCGGGTCAGCGCGGAGGGTGGGAAGGCCAAGTCAACCTTCTTTGGTCAAAGAACGGGGTGGGAAGGCCAAGCTGTTCCGAAGAGAAAGAAGGAGAGGTTCTGAGGGATTGTTTGGGGTGTGTGGTATGCCAGCGCAAAACGTGCTTGGAACGTCATAGGGATCCTTTCTTTCAGAGAAGCCAAGCCTCCGACGACGGGTGCTTGCTGACTGCCAGCCAAGTCCTTCTTCTTTTTGGTGGTATTGAGCATGTGGAGCGGGTACCAGGTGTGAGTGATTGTTGCTAGTTTTGATATGTTTTGATCAACTGATTGCTCAGCGCTCTGGGGTTGCCCAAATGGCCGACACCCAATGAACAAGTGAAAGCTACATCCAGATCATCCAATGTTGGGTTGAAATGTCTTTATCCCTCAAACGAACCTTGGATTTCTACAACTTCCCGTAACTGACCAAAACTAAAACAGTTCCATCTCATTTTGCGTCCACAAACCAACATATGTGAGGACCCAAAAAGCAAGACCAGCCGCAAGTCCAGCAACACGCGTCCAGCACACGCTGTCCAGTCGCAACCCGAGACCTCCAACCTCTCAACTACTCATCCTGCTTTGGAGGACGGTGGCACCCGTCCAACCCGGTCCACACCGGTTGCTCCCGTCGTAACTCGCCGATGGCACCTGCAGCTCGGGGCTCAGTGGTCGTGGCCCTAGGCCTTGGAGGCCGAGGCGCAGGGCGAAGAACAGGGAGGAAGGTGGACGCGTGAACCGCCATGGGAGGCATCACCAAACCAGGACGATTGAACTGCCATGGGATGGCAGCCATCCTGAAAATGGAACCGAAACTTGATCTGCCATCCAGAAAAATTGAACCTTCATGAACCTTCTTATCTACCGTGTGATAAAAACCCTCATTCGTCGCAGAAAACATGGGGGCAGCTCTTATCTCGTTTCTCACCCCTGCTTGGGATGATAAGATTCTCCTGCTTTGGGGAAACGAAACATGGAACACAAACCACCTGACTCTCGACTTTGCTTTCAGCATTTGGCTGCAGAAGGAAGAAATCCTGCCCTTCTGCAAAAGTGCAGGGTCCAGGGCCTTCAACTCTATCGGCCGTGAGGTTTCTGTGGTGAATAAACTGTTTGTTCCCGCCCAAAGTCTAACAATCTCGAGTCCCTCGTACCACGCACCACGCACCCGGAGTTCTCATGCCACGCACGGCCGGTCCACCAGGTGGTCGTGCACCGGCCGATCGCGCAGCAGCTCAGCTCAGTCTCCGGCTTAGCCCCTGGAAGCCCAGCTGCCGCAGGAGATCTTCCTGGTAGGACCGGAACGTCACGTGGATCCAGACGGGCTGCGCTTGCGCGGTCCCCCCACCAGCCCCGCGGAGATCTGCTGCGGCCGCCCGGTCGTCGTCGCATGAACGATGTGCGGTGCCCAGTGAGTGTCAAACGTACGGATTGCTCCTCTCACAGTGCTGAACGATGCGAGACTCTTCCGCCTGGAAACAACGAAGAGGAGTCTAAAAGAGTGTCAAAGTCAAAGAGTGTTCAAATCGTGATACATCTTCTTGCGATTGGGGGTTGAACTACACAGTGAAATTATCCTGAACCCGTGGACCCGGCTTGGTGCACATGGAGTTCACATATGTGCCTCGCAAACTCCCAACCAATAGGTGTCGACTGGTGTCAGCCACATCTTCCTCTTAGCAGAGCGAACCGTTGAGATTCCCCAGGTTGTTCAACAGAGGAAAATTGGAACCTTTTTCTTTCGCAACTGTTGGGTCAGGATCCAGCCCTCTCAAGGCCCAAGGAGACCACAGACTTCAGCCTTCCTTTGATGCCCACGTCCCCCTGTTCTCCAAAACACCCACACACACACACATCTATATATATATATCTATCTATATCTCTATCCATCTATCCATCTTTCCATCTATCCATCTATATATATATATATATATGTATGCATATATACCATATGCCACATGCACCGGCCACCCCTCCTGACTCCTCTTCCCCGCACCTCTTGAGACTGCCAGCCCCCATCAGGCCCCACGGCCAGCAAGAGACGAGCTCCGCACCGACGCCACCGAGCGGAGCGAACCGGCTCCCTGGCGGCTTCGGTGCCTGTTGCGGTGTTGCTCCGGAGCGGAGCAAGGTGCCTTTCTTAAAAAATAGGAGAAGTTCATAGAAGTTCATGAAGCTGGCCTGTGGATCAGTAGTTCTTCCGCAGCCAAAGTGAAGAGAGGGTTATTCTTTGCCAAGACAAACTTGCTGAGACTGCTGAGATATATGAAGCTAGCCATGGGGAAAACCAAACATGCAGTTGAAACAAAACTGCGGCAAATAACGGCAAATACGATGTACTTTACATTACCACCTAGGTCTGGAGCAGAAGTATGTTCATTATGTGGTAGATTGCTATATCCAAAACTTGTTCCCTCCTACGGTATCCCTGTCACATCAAATCCAAGTGAAACCCCTGCCACTTCAAGGAAAGCCTCCTGCCATCCCTGCATGTTTCTTGCACCGACTTTATGGCCGGTCATGGCACCGGGACCTTGGTTGACCCACCGAACAGAACGGCGACGACCGACCACCTGGGAGGGTCAACGACCTGGGTTTTGAAGCTCAACTGGACCCCACCATCCAGCTGGCCCTTGTTGCGAAGCCCACGGTCCTTCCAATCCACCGGTCAACTCGGTACGCTGAGACGAGACGAGAGGCTCCTACCGACGGCGAGGGTTCAAACGGGTCCTCAGGGCTACCGTGGTCCGAACGCAGCGTGGTCCCACCGTGGTCCCAACTCCCTCCCGGAACCAAGTCAGCCGGCCGTCAGGGCCGTCGTCGACCACGGTCCGCGGTGCCTTGGAAGCAGCTCAGCTTGGCCTCCCAAGCGCCGCTGTGGGCGAAGGCGGCCACGTCCGCCGAGGACCGCAGCTGCCGGAGCACGGGCACCTCAGGGTCGAAGCCAGGTGCCAAACGGAAAGAGCGGTGAAGTCCGGTTCTGTACTATACGTATGGCATGCATATATATATATATATATCTGAAGTCTGAATCGAATCCGCCGGCCCTTGGGCGCGGCGTGTTTTAGGTGATTGGTTCGTCTGCTATCCTAGTAGTAGTTTTGTTTTTAGTCTAATTTTTCCCCCCGCGCCGAGTTTTTTCAAAAATTCAAATTCCCCCCCCCCCCCCCCCCCCCTCAGCCAAAAGGGCCGGCGGAACAATCCGCAGGGGTAAATATATAGGTCCGTACAGAAAACAGTCTGATGCTATTAGATATTTGGATATATTTGGTAACAAAGAGTGACATATTGAAAAGGGTCTGGGAGAGCTGCTGGGGTCTGTTGGGTGGGCTCAGCAGATTCATCACATCCTGGAGTCCTGGAGTAGTCATTCATCACATCTCGAACTGATCTCCTGTCACAGCGAAATCGGTTCCACAATCCAACATTGTCGTGGTGGGCATGTCCCACCACATTTTTCGTTTGGCACGTCGTGGCACCTGGGTTTGTCCACTCTGCTCCAAGCCATTCACCAGCAGCTCCCGCAGCTTCCTCTCGCTGCGTAGCAGGTGGCAGTGGAAGACCTCACGATCTCCGCCTGTGTGGAAGCTGACCGCGCGTATCGAACTGGATGAAGGAGCCAATCCAAGGAACCGCCAAAACCGAATATACAAAAGCACAACGAGGTGCAAGAAGTGAAAGACGTGCTTTTGTTGAGAATCGTGATACTACTTGTATTTAACCTATCAAGTTGAGTAAGCGTGGATATGGATGGATGTAGTGCAACCAGGTGGATATGGTGGATGACTACAAGCTCGAAGTGCGATCAGGTTCATTGCACGCCTGGCACTTGGCATAAGGCCAGTGTGCCAATGCCCAGCTGCACTAACTGGGGCAAGAGCCTTGCAACTCTGAAGCAGCGGCTAGATGACAAAGACTCTCCATGTCAGCACAAAGGACCACCATGATCCCATGTTTCAACATTGAAAAAACGCCAGGGCTTGCAATCGACATGCCTCCACAATGAAGGCGCCTCTGCTAGTGAAAGACAACCGAACAGCAACGGCAATTCAATATAGGCATCGCGCCTTCTACTGTTGAAAGTTGGAAACATTTCGGACTTACTTATGCTCAAACTGAGTCGGCAACGCTGGATGTGTTCCAGCAACAGTTCACTGCGTGTTCCAATCTGCTCTAGCGGCTCTAGCGCTGTCCAAACAGGTAGTGACTTGAAGACACTCCCTTGCTGTGTCCGAGAAGAAACGGAGAACACCTGCCTGGTCAAGCGGTCCAATGGCGGAGGTACGAGGAGCAAATCCACCTGACTGCTGCACGGTTCACCACAAGCTCTGAAGGCATTGACCAAACAGCCAGACCTTAACCACAATGTGTGTTGTCCAAAAGTGTCACCCGATGCAATTAGTATGCATGGGTTGGAAAACTAACACCTATTACAGTAAGCAGGCGTTCGCATACTGTACACACTGCAGACTCTTGATATTTCAATAATACCGGCGATCTGTCGTGTGGAACAGAAATAACTGCGCACACAGGGAATAACTGCGATTCCCACAGAACCATCGACATGGCAGTTGCTTCAGCGCCTACAAAAGCGAGCTGGAAACCCAGTCACACTGTTGATTAATAGCCCATCCAGAAAATCATAGAAAATCCTCTTCTACCCATCGGGCGGTGTATGAATCAAGAGTCACTCGGCTACCTCGGATACCAACGCGATTCATCCTCACACATCCACGACATGGGCATGGTGGATACCTCGGACCTGAGTTTCACCACACCTCATCTCCACACTTCACTTCAACACCGGTCGGACTACGACACTGCGTCGTACGTCACTTCGCTGCCCAGAACGACACGTCGCGCGCCCATGGGACGCAAACATCCTCAACATTCATCACGACATCCGCACCATTTCAAGAACAGCACTTGGCCCGATCGCGCCATTGCCCCATCCGAGTCATCATCGCCCAATGAGTCATCACCTTTGCTCACGCAAATCACATTCCTAGAGCTTTCTGTGTTTCGGTGCGCTTCCTCCGAAAGTTTGATTGCCATTGTCCGCCGACCTCAGCCGACCTCAGCCGGTTTGGCGGTGGCGGTGGGCGCTAAGCCGATGTGGCGATGGGAAGCGAACGGTGGACGAACGGGTGCGTTGATTGGGCGGTCAGCTCAAACCTTCAGAGCCAGGGTCTGGCCGAACCTGGCGACACCGAGCTGCACGCCGCACGCCCATTCGGGCAGTGACTGCGCGCCTTCAGCGTTTCGCGTCATTCCGGGGTTCATTCCAGACTGCTTTTTCCAGAGAGCCGGGGGGTCTGGAGAGCTTTCTTCTGGCCACAGGAAGTGATGATTGAATCCTTCAAAGGGTCTGGTCCAGGGCTGTTAGCCCGACCGCCAGGGACCGCCAGGGACGGCGGTTTCGGAGTGGTGTCGGGCCCTCTCAAGCTACACCCCATGGATTCCAACGCCGTCAGCTTCAGCCGTCTCCCGGCGTGGTCAGTCTTCGCCACCACACCGTCCAGGCATGGCGCAGCCGTTCACTACGCAGCCTGCCCAGCTGGACCAGCTGGGTGACACGTCTGGCCCAGCTGACCCTGCTGTCTGAGCTCCTGTCTAAGACGTCGAAGGTCGCCCCGCGGGGCGAGGCTCGGGCCAACTGGGCCAGACCACTCACTGCCGGAACTGTAGCAGACACACAAACATCTCACTGCCCGAACCACCTGGACCACTCCCTTTCCTCGAACCTCACCGCCTCACACTCCAAAGCCCTCTCGAAGATCCTAACACAAACATCGCTCGCCCGGCTGCCGCGTGAAGATATATCTGCTTAAGGATGGGATCGACAACAAAAACAATAACCCTTATGGCATCGCCGATGTGCAAAGCTCTACAATACACATGTACATACAGGGGTGAAAATGCGTGACATGCTCGATTATTCCTTATAGCAATTGTTCTGGTTCTTTGTGATCATCAAATTCATGCCAGGGCCCAGCTTACCTCCAACCTTCTCATATTGGTGGAAGCGCTCGAGACCAGTAATAAAAAGGAACAGAATATCTGAAACTCCAAAAGTATGCACACTCCTAAGCCGGCCTGAAGGAGCAACGATTCCCGAAAACACTCATGCCCAGGCACCCAGCCACCGAACCCAGCCACCTGAGCCTCCTCAAAGCGCGGCAAACACTCCACAGCCGCCGAAAAGTGAAGCTCTAGGAATTCGGGGAGAACCTCCTGAGGAAGAAGGCACAGTCACCGGCGTTTTCGAAGAAAAAGACACCTGGAGTATGGCTTGGGACCACCAGTGCTCTGTTCTTGCTTTGATGGATCAGACCGAGCTAGGCCTCTCGCCCTTACCAAGCTTGGGATGTACCACGGATGTACGGATGTAGGGGGAACCACGGGGTCGAGCTATGTAGAACATCCTGGCCAAGTCATTTGCATCCGTGGTCCAATGACAGGTCTCTTCGCTCAAATACACAAGTGCACCTGTCTGAATTCTCTTGTCTGAATTATGGTTGTGAGTCATGGCGCTTACCCCACCAAACCATGGGAGGTTGACATCCCGAAACGGAGGATTTGACCTGGGGAAAAACAAAAAGCACCTCTAGCACCACGCTGCACACTTCATCGCTTGCGCCGGGAAAAGACTTCTTGCCCACGGTTGGGGCGCTTCTGTCGAGGCGACTCTCTCGCGCACCGGTCGTGCACTGTCGAGCCGAGAGAAGTGTTGCAAACCTCGTGCCATGGAAGTCGGCCGTACCTTTGAAACTCTGTGGATACTCTGAACACATCGTCACCCTCGTCACCGTTCTGCCAATGAAACCAACGCCAGTCGTCCGTTCAAATGCCAGTCGTTCGAAAGACCCACATCCAAGCTGAGGTGAAACTTCCAAACCATGGCTTCACCATGATCCTTTCAGGACCTGAAGAGCTCTAGCTGTCTCCAGGACCTCTTTCACGAATTACTTCGGCAAATTACTTGGCCGTTGGTTTTTGGCTGCACGCAGCTTCCGGGAGACCCAAGCGTAGGCACCCACGTTGTTGGGTCCTTCGCTCGCTCGCGGCGACGGATTTTGTCGGCGAGGTCAAGGAAGAGCCTCTGAGCGAGAAGGAGAAGGAGCGAACGACAGACCCAACAGGGTGACATACACCTTCATGTGGGTGGTTGGGTCAGCTGGTTGGAGCGAAACCTCACGACGACTCTCCGGGAACTGGAGCTGAGCTGGAGCTGTAAGGTCACCCCTGTTTCAGGATCCAGGTATGTTTCAAAAGCATGGATGGGTTGCTTGCAAGTTCAGGAGACCCTCTGTTTCATCAACGGGAAGAAAAGAGGTTTTTGGGCGTCCACGTGGGCGTCCGCCAGACTCGGAAACCTCGCTTTCGACTGGGTGCCATGACTGGGTGCCATGCATCGAGTCGGAGTAGGACGGTGAGTCCATCCCCGACCTCGGTTCCAGGCACCTTCGTACAAAAAGATCGGTGTGTGTGTGATTGGTGTGTTATACACATATATATATATATATATGTGTGTGTATGGTTCAATTGCCATTGGCGTCCTTCCAAAGGGCCAGGCCACAACCAGGAGTGGTGGAGTTGTTCTTTATATGGATCGATCAAGCGGCATTGGTCCACTCCTATGACACCACTACGCAGAATAAGTTCCAGGCATCGTTTCGCAAAACGACCAAGTAATCTTAAGTCCCCAAAATCCCCAGTTTCTGTGGCAAAAATAAGATAGAAAGAAAAAAAATATACTCCCTCATCTCAAGCAAACATTCAAGGTCAAAAACATCAAAAAGGACCCAAATGTCCCAAGATCCGGCACCGTCTGCTGGACATCTCTGTGACGGTCTTCGGTTCCACAATGCAAAAAAATGCCATCTTTAAAATGTGCACAGATATCGAAAAAAAAGGGGGGGGGGGCCTTGCTCGGGGGTTTCGATGTAACATGGAAGCGTCCGGTCCTCGGGTGATCTGGTCATAACGTTCAGGGCTAAAGCGCAGTTGGTTCATCTTCTCTGGAACCATCGGCTCCTGGCCCCCCGCCCTGGCTCCAGGGCGGGTGCTTCAGGACGGTGAAAAGCCGAACTCCGTTCGTAGCGAACCTTGCTACTAGTAAGGCCAGGAGCGCCCCGTTCGTAGCGTCCGAACGCTCCGTTCGTAGCGATCATGCCCTTTGCTACGTTCGTAGCTTTACACACACTGCACCCGAAAGTACACACCTCTAGAGACCGTTGGACTTCGATGTGTTTTTGCTTTGAAAGTGTGACGCAACTTCTATGTCTATGTCGTCCACCAAGTCGACCATGAGACGCGTTGTCCTTGCGGTCGAGCACTTCTTGTGCGCGATGCGAGCTCACTTGGTTCTAAGACTCAACACGTCTCAGTTCAGAGGTATCAACAGATCTGTAAACTGCTCCGGAGAGCTTGAGGAGACTGGATTATGTCCTCGCTTTTTTCTGGGACTGCCATGCCGCTTCCCGCAGCGCTTGAAGCGCCCAGGTAAGACTGCATTGGCCGGGACCTCCTGCTCAACATCAAATCCCTCCAACCACCAACCGATGTTCCTACAATGGGCTCGGGCGTGGCCCATGCAGGGCACATATCCCAAGCCGTTTGGTTGGCCAATATGGAACACCAAAAAGAAATAGGCTCTAAGTCCTCAAAGATCTTCGCAAAAGCCGCTGAAACAGGCTGAAACACCCGCCCGAAACAAAAAACAAACAGCCCAAGAAGACCTGCTGCTGCTCGCTCCTGTGCCAAACGATAGCCACCAGCGGGCAGCTCCTCCAAGGGCACCCGCTGACGGAAGCGCAACACCACGTGGGCGTCGCACACCGCGGTCACCAGCTGCCCACCTCGGGTTGGCACACCGCTTCACGACATGATCCAGTTCGACCCGTTCGGCCATCCCTGTTCAACGGCGTTCGGCGTTCGTGTGCGGAGCGAGTTCTTTTCCACCAAGCGGTGCCAAGCACTGGAGCGGTGCGGAGGAGCAGGGCAGGGCCGCCAAAGAGTTGCAAACTCCGTGTTCTGACTGGTTCCATCTGCCTGCATGGTTCTTACCCGGACCCCCTCGCTCAAAGTGGTCATCGGTCACAACCCCTTCCGATGGTTTCTGTTCTTTCAAGCCGAGCTGGTGAAAAACACCAAAACACCTAAAACGGTTGATACAAATCCAAACGAGAGCCCTCCATAGGGTTCCCCCCCGTCTCTTAGAAATCACCAAGGTGGTCAGTCTTTCTTCGGCCCAGTGACTTTGAAGCTTCACCCGAGGCTTCAGGATGTCGCCGTTCTCAAAACCCACCAGCTCACCCTCAATGTGGCTCAGCCCTCCAGGCATGCCTGACCAAAGTAAACAATAAAGAAATCATGAAGCCGTTTGAGTCGCAAAACCTGGAATTGAACTGGTAGAAGTGCTAGTAGTCCATCTACTACCGTCACCATCATCTAGTTTCAAATGTTGGTGCTATTAGCCACATTGCCATACTTAGATTGAGAGATAACAGGTGAGAGAAGAGAAGCACTCCCAGATGGACACTACGAGTGAAACAAGAACCCAAAAAGTGTTTGAACGGTAATTTTGCATGTGTTCAGTCTTGGGCGCTGTACACTGCCTGCCAAAGAGACACTCCACTGGAGCATATGCAACAAAATACAAGACGAGGTGTGTAGGATCATCGCATCAAAACATCCAACAACTAAGAACACATGCGTCAAAAGAATCCTGGAAATCATTGTTAAATCCGATTTAAGACAATCCAAGATCAAGGACAGGGTTCTGAGTAAAGAAAGAGAAGCCGTTCTATTCATATATACAATCAATCCAAGAATCCCAGAATCCAGAACTTTCAGAAAAGCAAAGGCCCAGACTGTTGATTCAAAAACAAGACATAGTTTAATATGCAGATGTAAATCCATTCTGATTGGGGAGCTTCATTCTGTACCTTCATTTTTGAGTCGACAGGAACACACAACCCGAGTACACCCCCTCGGTCGCCTCGGCCGTCATACCCCGCCTCCACTTCCACTGACTGCTCGATTGGTCGCACACAGGTTCCGGGCTGCTGTCATCGGCAGCCGCCGAAGAAATGCCATGGTGCGCACTTGCTTTTTGTACGACGGGAGAAAAAGAGGCGAGGGAGCAAACCCGGGAAAACAGGTGGTCACTTCTGAGTCAACATGATGAGACTCCTCTATGCCATGGTTGAATTTGGTGACTTGTTGGTAGCACATGACAAGAAGCGCCGTATACGGTATCTATTCTTGAAAAACGTGTGCAAAAAGGAGCTCCAAAGACCTGACGGAAAATGAGTGGAAGCATTGTACTCACCATGACCCCTAGCAGCACATTTCTTCCACGCGCTAGCGTTGCAACATCCACGTGATGCAAGTTGTTCATTGTGAGATCAGAGGGGTTCAAAGCACACCTGAACATAAGCGGTTTCGTCTGTGCTTTCTACCACAATGATGACTCATGACGTCACTCACCTGGTGGCCGACCTATCGGCATCTGCACCCACCCCAACGGGTGCCGCCGCGTGTTCGTGTGAGTTTCACGGTGGCGCCTCACGATCTAAGGCACCTTCAATCTCCTGCAGCCCATGCAGTCGGCGCACAACGGAGGGTCGAAAACCACATCCAGCACGACTTGGTCGAAACGCGCCACAGGTGCCAGCTTGAGTCGGCATCATGGTCATGTGTTGACAGGAACGGCCCACATGGTGAGTCAAGAACCGCCCCAAGGTACGCTGGTCAGCTGACCGAAAATCAGGAGCTCCTTCTGGTCATTTTCTGTGGTCAACCAAGGTACGCTGGTGCCATGACCCAGTCCCCCAGTCCGTCACTGTGAGTCAAACGGGTTGACCCCCCATGTCTGGCCCTTGAAGTGGACCTGGACCTGTGGTCCATGTCTCTTCCGGACCAATGGTCCGTCTTCCGGTTCTGAGCCCCCAACCCATCTGGACCCTTTGGCACTGCTTCAAACAGCTTCAAACAGCAGTCTGCCTGGCAGTCCATCGCTTCTCCTCCATGCTTAGACGCTCAGGACGTAGCTGTCGGCGTTCGGGCACACGCCAACGTCCGCCTGAAGCCTTAGAAAGAGTACCAGGTTATCATCCTGATGTAGATCCTTTGCCTGAACAAACATGGAAACTGCCAGGAGTCTGGAAGATGGTTTGAACAGAACAGGGCCCTGGGCGGTCTGAACTCGCACGTCGAGCCCGAGTTAAGGCCGCATTGAACTTCCAAGAACCAAAACCTCCCTCCAAAAGAACCGAAGACCAGGCTGATTGCTACGAGTTACAAGGGCATTACTAACTAGGAACAAGGGCATGACTACTAGTAGCTAGAAGCTACTAGTAACAAGGGCGTTACTAGTAGCTTCTAGCTACTGGTAATAATGCCCTTGTTCCTGGTAGAGGCTGGTTGCCCATGCAGATTTGAGTCCATGCTTGCCACACACCCCATGCTTGACCCCCAACCAACTGGGAGGTCCCTACTGCTTTTCTCTAGAAAGATTCTGAGACAAGTCTTCTTGCGACTCACACCCTGCTTTGTGTCAACTCATTTCCATCAAAACTTTGCTTGCATCGGACTCCTCACAGAAAACGCCCTCCCATCACTCTCCGTCACTCTCCGTCACCTGCGTGCCCGGGACACCGGCCAGCGCCAGCGGACCACCGCCCGGTCGTCGTAGGGTCCATCCAGGATGCCGACCTTCAGCGCGTCGCCGTCGCGGAGCTGCAACACCTGACCCGGCGGCGGTCGACCCGGGTGACCGGTCCGGCGGTTCATTCAAAGGTCCGTGCCTTCATTCGAAGGGAAAAAATGGAAACAGATGGTCCGATTGATTGAGCTCCTATTGGTTTCTTTTGGGGTTTTGGAAAGAAAGAATGTGAAGATTGCACCAAGTCTACGGCTTGGGTCGTGCCAAGCACGTACCAGAAGCAGACCGGACCTCTTCCCAACTCCGTCGCCAGAGATTTTGTTCCTCCCTCGAAGGAGATGGGCGGAGGTGCAAAATGGCCCGGGATGGAGATGCGCACTTTTTACAAAGGCGTTTCGATGGCTTGTTGAATGGAGTAATTAGGATTAATTATGCATCACATCACAAGTTCCTTTGTTCTGTAGATGTACCTAGATTGTACACAAAAGGGTTAAGCTACAGTGGTTTCAGAGTAGATGGCACTGGCACCCAGTACAGAAGTCTTAGACCAATGGGGGTCCAGACAAACCACCGCACTTGGGGGTTGTGCTATCGAACCTCTGAAACCACCGTATAGGAAAAAAGATCGCTGACATGTCCGACCTGTAAAGACTGGATGACGTTCAGACTGAAGACTGGCCTCTTACACATGTGATACCTTTAAATTAAATGCCTTCAACTCAAAGCACAGCTGGCACTAATCGTGTTGATTATCTTGAAGGAACCATGCACAGGGAAAAAAGAAAAAAACATGATTCCTCATGATTCCTCTTTGTTCAAAACACCGAAACCATGTCTCCTGGCCCAAAGAAAACGGCACCTTGGCCACGTGCCGGGCACGTCGGTCTGACATGGCCAGCAGCGCTTGGTTTTGGGAGACTTCGGAGGGCTCCAGCCTCAGCGGACGAATCGGAGTGCGATTCCGAATCACAAAATTGGATTTGTGGGGCAAAATTCATGGAAAGTAAGGGAAAAAACATGGATGGAAGTGAAGGTTAGAATCTGTCCCTTGTCTCTACTGGTAGCTTTGTTTCATGATTTAGGTGGACCAATCACCTTTTAACAGCACCGGACACATGCCCTTTCACAACTGCGTTCACAACCAACAAAACAGCCACAGCTGTATCCTTCCCGAGGAAGGTCCACGGTGCGCAAAAAAGAACGTGAAAAACGTCCGAACCGACCTTTTGTTCCGTTACACCAGAACAAAACAAAGCTCAGTGAAGAACCACGTGCCCCCCCCAAAATCCCACCCATGCCGAGCAACAGGAGCCGATTCAGGGCACAGCCTGGCCTCCAGTCCCGCCCGAAACAGCTGCACCCAATTGGAAACATGTTTCGAACTGAGTGCAAGAGGTCCAGTCCAACACGGAAGGCTGAAACAAGCAACGTCAATTGCTCTTGCGCCTCAAGCAACGTCAATTTGCCACACGTGTCCAACGACGGCAGTTTTTCGTGAACCATTTTGCGCGGCACAAGCAACACCAGAAGACAAAATGCACAAACTGGTATGACACTGGAAAGTCAGGCATGAACTGAACCGAGGATCTCAAGGAACCATTCAATACCACACATTATATATGTATGTGTCTCATATACATTTATATATATACAGGCTTGGACACCCCGTCAAACAAAAAACATGTATAGTGTTAGCACCAAGAATTCGTCTTGTATAGGTTTGTGTACAGTGTTGTTCACAATCTCGTTGTTCTGTCGAACGATTCGATTGTTTAGTGGATAACGAAAACCACCTGCACGGCCGTCAAAGCAGCCTGCAAGTCGAGTCATGCAGCGCCAAGATCCCAAATAGAAGCAAGCACCATGGGCCGCGCATGAAATTTGGAAGGAGAGGCTCGTTTTGGCAGCCAGTTGCCCCCCTTGGAGGCAAAGTGTTGGCGAAAGTTTTGTGAAAGAATCTATTGAGGTGCCAGCAAGAGCACCCACCATTCCATTACAACCCGAAACCTAGCACATTAGACCCACACCACCTAGCATTAAACCGACACGCTGCCGTGCTGCCGTGATGTCTTCAACAGCGAATGCGCCTGTATTCCTCGGGCGTAACGACGAATGCGCCTCTTGTTCTCTTGATTGACTAGTCGGACTCTTTTCTCCAGTTATAAGGAGCACAGGAGGGCTGGGCAGAGCTAGGTGCCTCGCTTGCAACATCGGTGTCACTTTCGCATTGAGCCTTGAGCCTTGGGCGCAGCCAAGGCAGATTGATGACAGAATATCACTGCTGTTGCTCACGTCAAGCTTGGCTTGTTTTCATACCAACCATTTGTCTTCATACCATGAGAAAAAAGAAATCACTGGAAAGTGTTTCATGGTAAAGTGAAACCATTCCCTGGAGTTCTCCAGTTCTTACCATGGTATGAAGACCCAGAGTGTCTCAGAAGCGCCCGTTCAAACCATTGCAAATCCAGTTCTTTGCGACTCGAACATCTCACTCGCTTCGTCCGCTTCGTCCGTCGCAGATCGTATTGCTTTTTGGGGTTCGCAGATCGTCCCACTCACGGAGAGGTGTGTGGAGCTAGCACTCCATGGTAAAGTACCCTCCGCCACATTCCCCTTCATGAGACAATTTCACAAAGAGTTGAAGGTGAAAGTCTATACACACAGCTCCACCTTCCATCTGACAGAACACTGGTCGCCTGCCAGACGGCTCGGTGAATCTGCTGCCTCATTTAGGCGCTTTGCGTTTGGGGCCGCGACTGACCTTCTTTTCGGCTCTCTATGAGCCCGGCCGGCGACCACAGCCGTATCTGGCTGCCAATTTATAACTGTAAAAGCTGTAAATCTGCATGCAGTTGGCGGGCGGGAAAATCACCAGAACCATGGAAAAAAAAAAACACTGGAGTTGCAAAATGAGATCAATTCTGTACATCTACATGTTGAAGTTTGCAATCAAGACAAAAAGCTACCTCCATTTAGATTCTGAGGCAAAGATGGTGACGGATCGTCCCCGTCTCCACTTCAAGAACCATGCCCGCTCTGATCAAAAATCCACCCACCAAAAGAATTCACCTTGGCATGGCCAAGGAAAACCACAACCGGAGACCCGACTCAGCATTGTCCTTTTGCTGCGACGAGCGAATTTTGTGGGTAATTCCTGAAAACCAAGTTGCTTAAGAATTCTTATCCAAATAAAACTGAGGCATAATCATCCCTTGTCTCCACTTCATCCCTGGATTGGCTAGTAAAAGGACAACCGTCTGACTCTACTTCGCCACTTTGTCCGGCGAAGAAGGTCCCCTCAAGATTGTCGGCAGATGTGGTTGCGTGATCTCCCGCAGCTCCCGGAAAAGATGAGCATTCTGTCGCACCGCATATTCCCCTTGGGCGGCTAACAGATTCACCTGGGCGCTCATGGGATTTGACTAGTGACCCCTGGATGCTCGGTGTCTTTTTGGCTCGGTCTTTGTTGAGGTTGAGAGCAGAGAGCCAAATGATACCGAAGAAGTGGGAACACCTTTTCTGAGTCTTACGCCAGGTATGATCCGCTAGACCCGGTCGTGCCATGCCGAAAGTAAGCTCAGGAATAAAAAGTCGTCTATATATATATATTATACATTATACATATAATATATATATATACACTCCCTGAAATAATCATCGGAAGTTGAAAACCATCTGTTTGGTTTCCGGAAAATGGTCATCCGCAATCGGGGCCGTGCCAATCTACTTCCCATCATGATTTCAGGGAGAGTAAGTACCCCCCAGAGGTTCCCATCTTCAAATCCTGCTGGAGTGAAGACTGAGGAATCTTCAAGTCAAATGGAACCTCACTCTCGCTTCTCAGCAGTCTGCCTTGCCTGAGCAGTGTTGAGGCCCAACATGTCCTCCTTGTTGTTCCCAGTGGTCCTGCCAGTGTTCACTGGATCACGGTACCCCGAATTTTGCAAACAAAACGAATTACAAGCGGTTAATAATTAAAATATATATATATATATATGTTATATATTGTATATATATATATATTGTCATGAATCCAGATCCACTGGACGCGTACTTGGAGTAGAGACGACATGCCGGGACCGTGCGAGTGCTAAGAAGCGAGCTCAGTCGATCCGGCTGAGGGACGCCGGTCAGTGTCCGACGATCTCCGACGACTCGATGGTCCGAGGAAAAAGCACGACAAGCCTCATGAACCAGTGTTCAGGGTCCATGTGCTCTGCAGGTTTCTACTAGCAAACATTGCTCCGAACGTAGTAAGGCACTTGTTACGAAGGTAGCGATGCACTTGTTACTACTAGCTTATTGTTTCTACGTTTCCTTCCCCTCCAAAAGGATCTCATCCACCCTGCACCCAATGGCAGAGCTCTGACACCAGACCCAAAGCTCAAGACCAAAGAAGCACGACGCAGGACCCAACGCGGCGCGCGGTTGGTCTTGTAGATGGGATAGTTCTCCAGCATGCCATTTGGGCCCTTGGCGATCTCATCTCGGACCTCCTGCGGCAGCTGCTGCTGGAATTCTGCGCACTCGTCCAAGTAGATCAGCACGAAGGACACCTGGCCAGGGCACCAAGGGGTTGGCTGTGCTGAGTTTGAAAGGTATGTCGAAAGAGATGGTAAGCGACGCAAAAGTTGGAAATACTACTTAGTGCAGCTTGTGTGTGTGTCGTTTTCAGATTCAGATTGAGATAGTTTGAAGTCGCAAATCTATCTATGTTTGGGACCCAACCGGACAACAAATGCTTCACATTTGCAAAATTCCTGCTCCCACATGGATGACCATCCTTGCCAAGACAAGATCTGATTTTCGAACCACAGAACTCACACCTCGCATTCTAAAAAAGAGGACGCCCCCGAACACCCTGCCAGTTCGTGCTGCCTGGTAGTCTCCCCGGATGCCCCAGTAGCTGTTGGGCAGCACGTCCAAGCTCTCTTTCAGCACCATCGGCTTCCCTGAGGACTTCAAAGCAAAGAGCTTTCGGCAGATCGGCAGCAGCTGGGACTTCTTGAAGACCTGCCCGACGATCACCGATCGAAAAGGGTCCTCTTTTTGGAGGGACACCGATCGACGGATGGAGGGAGATCCAACCAACAGGGGCGAATCAACTCCATGTTCCGAAGCAAAAATCAAACTCCACCCTTTTTGAGTGAATCAGCAGCTTTTTTCCCGGCCCCAATGGTCAGAGCCCCTTTTGTGAGGCGGAGACGGGCCGAAGGAAGACGCTTTCGACCGACTCTCCTTGTCAGAATCATGGCCTCGTGCAGTTCACCACCGGTTTCTTTGGATTTCATGGTCATCCCAACTCGTGCCCATGAGTGACTTCACTCAGGGAGTGTGGACTTCACATGGTGACCATGAGCGACCCCGGAGTGTCCATTGGGAATTGGCAGTTCAGGGAGTGTGAGCCGGTGCTGCGGCTGCGGCTGCGGCTGCGATGGATGGATGGCATCAGAATGCATCAGCGAAGCTTGCTGCTTGCGGGAGTCAGTTCGCCAATTCGAGTCAGAATTGGCGGTCAGTGAGGTCACTGCCAGGTCACTGCTGGATGTTCTATTTATCTATTGTCATACATCCCTTCAGCCTGGTTGTTGGCATAGAAGTAGCCCTCATCCTGGTCGTTCAATCCGTACCCGAAGAGGCTCGAGAGTTGATCTATCACTCCTGCCGCATCCGGGTCGAAGTTGTCAATGGTGGCCTCGTGCGCGGACGGATCTTTCTTGCAGGGGGTGGCGCGACCGGTGGCCTCGGGTTGGCGCGTTCGAAAGGGGAGTAGATCCGATAGACTCCATGGAGCAGTATCGTAAAAAATGCGGTTTGTTTGAGCAAATTGATGGCCCAAGTGCTCAGGGTTCCGTTGCTGATGCTATTGAGCCAGAGCCTTTTCTTAACCAAGTTCTGCTGGCAGGAGTCTTCTCATCCGAAGCTACACTCTTACCAGCTCACCTCAGCTAAATCAGGACCGGAGGTACCCAACTGTCTGCAGATTTCCCTTTCCCCACCAGACATCCCACTCGCTGCCCAGTTGCCCCTTCAAAGTCGTAGTCCTGTAGAGGTCGGTAGGAGCTGGCAATCCAAATCACCTCCAAATTGCCCGACATTCGACTCTTCGCGCGCGCAACATTCGCGCGAATGGGGCCTTTTTCAGGGCTACACTTACAGACCGTGTGGAAGAGTGACCGGAGAATATGTTTCAGACTCAGATCAGGCAGCATCGACACGCAGCGAAAATCTGCCAAGAAATGAGTGGCAGCTGTCAGTGGCTCCTAGTCACCTGTGCAAAGGAGGCTGCTATTCTTCCCTTGGCGCTGAAGACCAGTAAAGAGCGGAGGTCTCAACAAGGCGTATTTGGGGGGACAAATCTACCAGTGTTCACCGAATGAATAAAGACGATGGTCAAAGAGTGGCGGATGTGGCTGCCATCGGTGCCTTCTTTGGGCTCTCTTTGTTTCGTTCAGCCGCAGGTGTGTGTAGAGACTTCAGCGTTTGGGCTGGAAGCAACACTCTTCTCCGCCACGAAGCATTTTTCCATCAATGAGATCAATGGGAGCACTTTCCCCCCAAGACCACCTATTTGAGACCTTTGGAGGATGCCCTAAGCTCACTCAGATTTCAGTCAACATCTTCTCACTGCAAGTCAACCCACACATCTCCCGCCTCCGCCCACCGCGGGACCAGCGATACGCAGCTCCGTCTCTCCCACCCCCGGCGTCCGCTCCGAAACCACCCGGACCGCTCCTTGCGACTCCTGCGCTGCAGGAGGGGAAGCAAACCGCTGTTGTCGATGGCCCCGCCATCGCCCATCTGATATTCATGCGCTTCCTGTCGCACTGAATGAAGTGCGAGGGCACGGCAGGGCGAGGCCCAGGGGGTGGGAGGTTCAAACGAGTGATCCCCAAAGATAGATAGATAGATAGATAGTGGCACGGTGTCCAAGACATTTTTAGCGGGGATCTACGAACTTCTATCTGTTTGAGGCGTCAATATCTGCAGAACAAGAACCTACAGCTACATGTTCCAACGGAAAATCCCCATGTGCCACGACAGTAGACCTCGCGAGAACTGAAAAACCTCACACGAAACAAGATTGCCTTGCCTGACCAAATACCAAACCAGCCACGATCTTGCCTCAATCTAATCATCCCGAAACACAGCTGAACAACTGGACACATCTTTCTCACTTTCTCCCCAAAACCGCCTGGGCAGATGGACAAGTGTTGCTGCAAATGGCCCAGTACTTCTTGCGGATGTTGAGCCACCAACTGGTCAGCAGCCTCTGACGGAAAGCGCATGTTTTCTTCCGCACGTGTTGCCACCCTTCTAGCATACACGTGCTTCCGCACGTCAGGCATCTGTTTAAATCAGAGGGTCACTAGAAGTCCGAAATCGAAGATTCCATTGTGGCTCTGGGTCATGGCACCAGGAGACCAACCGGGCACGACCGACACCGAGTGGAAAGTCTTACCCCCGGCAAACACGGTGGACTGGTTGGGTGAACATGGTGCCATGACCTGGGTTGCAGGCCTTCGCTCTTGGGTGGGAGACCATCGCCATTAGATGCTATTAGGTTGAAGGCCGTCGCTAGTAGATTGGAGGCCATCGCATTTCGGTTGGTGGCCATCGCTAGTGGGTTGGAGGCCATCGCTAGTAGGTTGAAGGCCATCGCTATTAGGTTGGTCTACCTGTGAAGGATTGCGCCTTTCCACACCCAAACTACCCAGCTGAGTCGTGCCTGTTCGAGAAGGACGAGGCGGGAGCATAGCTGCTGATTCCCACCATCCTGAGTTTCACCGTTCGAGCGTCGGTCCTACACACACTGGTCCTGTCGTTGTGACCCACTGAAACCCTCCAAAGCCCTTGCTTGTTAAGCTGTTTCCGCTGGGTAGGTCGAAAAATAGCTCTTGCAGTAGCTCTTGGTGCAAACATCCCCCGCCGCTCGGAAGGTCTTGCCCTCATGAAAGAATTGGCCACGTCACCTAGTCTATGCCTCAACCAAGGCCCTTCCAACCAACAGCTCCTTGTTCTTCCTCGCCCACCCGAGCACGACAGGGTCGTAAACGCACCGAGCACGACACCGCCAAGCCGCTCGGGCAAGGAGAAGCTCGTGTCCGGCGTGGGGACCTCCACCTTGCCGCCCCGCTGCGCTTCAGCCTCCGGCGCGTCGCCACCTGGCACAGTGCGTGCGACACTACGGAGGCAGTGAGTGCTGAGCTCGGAGGGCGTGCGTTTCAAAACAATGCGTTTGAGATGTTGGGATTCAGAATCGTTGTATCTGGATGTATATATCTGGGTAATGATGTCAGGCGGAGAACCTGAAAGTAGCCACTTTCGTGACTTCGTGACTTCGTCACCGTTTCCAAAGCCGAGCGGCCGAAGGCAAAGGTTTCGATGAAGCCGCCCCCGATGCTCAAGGTCAAAGCCTTCCTCCAGCAGGGATAGATGCAGCATAAAGGCACTGGCTGATACGTCACGTCTGGAGTGAAGCGCAAGACTTGGTCCTGGAGCGTCACATCAAAGAAGAACTCCGGGACCACTTGCCATCGAGCTGCTTCAGTTTGTCTATAGTCTGGGTGTATATGCGCGGTTTAGACAAGCTCAAGAAGACAATCGCTCTTTTCTAGCTGGAAGCATTCATCCAGATGCTGGGTTGCAGTTGGGAACAGCAATGACCGAAACCACTGATACAAACGCATAGTGTCCAGCAGCTCCGAATATTATGTTGGACTTAGTTCCACGACCAGACTTGATGTGAGCAGTGACAATTGGTGGCAAATCCCCGGGTTTTTCCTGGGATTCAGGAAGTTTGTCCAGAGAGCCAAATCTGTTTCTCTGCAGCCAAAGGCTGTGTGTCCTAAGCGGCCTAAAGGCCGATGTCTCTACGTCGCCGCCCAGCCGGACGGAGTCCTTGGGGTAAAAGGGGCTGCCACTGTAATCTGGCGACATCTGAAAAGACACCTCAGATGTGGGAGGGCTAAAAGGCAGAAAAGGCACCAAGAAACGAAACTCCAGTCGTGTCGTGTTTTTCTCATGTGCAGAAAAGGTGTCTCAGTTTACAGAAGCTCCACGGACACAAACGAGCAAATGGCCAAACACTCCAAACACGAACCTGGGGTGCCTCTTGTCCAGTCATCTAAGATGACCCATGAGTCGCACTATCTACCAGCTGCCTAGGTCTGAGCCACCTCAAAGCCCAAACCTCGACCGGTCTGTGACCCTCTGACGCAGTCGGACGGAAAGCTCGTCGGTCGTTTCCGCGCTTCCATCCCGGGCCCGGTCCGACGGTCGACACGACGAGGTGGGGTTCTGGGTCGTAATGGGTCCAAACTCACAGAACTCATAGTAAGGCAGTGGTAGGGAATTGATCCAAGACATGTTTCTGACCCTGGAGCCACAATAGTTGGTATCTGGTCATGAAACACAAGCCAGAATTACAAGAAAAAGGGGGGAGGAGGATCCCAAAAATGACTCAACTCCAGATTGTCCTGCTCTGTTTCTTGGTCTTTGGAACTTTCCCAGCTAAGTCCCAGGGACTTCAGCACCGTTTCGGACGCTTTGGTTCCGAAAGCTGTCGCCCAGTAGCCACGCTGTCACCGGAGATGCCATGGTTTGAGGGCGCCAGCAGCGCGCCGTTCATCACGAAGAGCTTTGGACGATCGCGGCGCGGCACGTGGAAGGGCACGCCCTGGAGGTGGGTCGTGGTGCTTTTCCCACACCGCAGGAGGGGTGGGGCATGGGACCATACAAAGGGGCGATGGAGCTCAGGGCGATTCGGTGGGGTTGAGCTTTTTTCAGGGGCGGCCAAGGGAAGAAGACACCTGAAGGTCCGGGCACCTCTAAGGCCGGGCGACTGTGTTCAGATCCATCGGTTCTCTGACCTGGAGTGGCTATGCCATGTCTGTCCGCTGGGGGTTTTCTTGGAAGACGTCAAAAAAAAAAAGAAACACGGGTGTATAGAATAGTTGCCCCATGAATCATGGGTTCACCAGTATATATGTCGGGTTCACAGCAAAGGGTACAACTGCAAGCTGCAAGCAGTCATCACAAATTCTGTCTCCTTTGAGTGTAGGATAATGTAGGAACCTTGCACCACACGACCAGCAGCTGAGCTTGGGCCAGGTCGCACATCCAAGGTTTGAATGCTAGGTCTTCCTTCCAACCTGACCGGAACTCCGCTCCGCTCCACTCCCTCAACGCCCAAATCGCCTGGATGCCCGGGTTCTCCTCCTTGATCCGCTTGACCTCCTCCTCACTCTCGGCCACACAACACTCGAAGCTCTCCAGACCAAAGGGCTGCAAGATCAGGTCCTCGAATCAAAGGTCGAAGCAAAAGAACCCAGAACGGCCCCTCTTCTTTGACAGGATGGAACAACTATTGAAGTGTCATGATGAATCTCACTTGGACTTCCTGTGCATCTCATTTTTCTGCTTTCCCTCTACTGAGCCAAATGACATCTGTCCCCAACTTGGGGTCCGGATGCCCGATGTCCGGGTTCCGTGGCATGACATGACATCGGTAGACGGGCCGATGGGCCACGAACGCACAAAACGGGCCGATGCGCCATGACACACCGCAGCATGTGTCGTTTCATAGTGTTCTGGGACTGGGAAGAATGCGGTGATGTCCATCAATCACAAATTGGAGATTGATGATATTGACTTGATGATTTCCCTTTTCGGGGGTCCCTCAGTCCCTCAGCAACACCTTCTCTTTCGCAGTGGTTGAGTCCTATTCTTCCCTAGAAACCAGGCCGGTGGAGCCTTCTCGTCTTGTTTCAAGACAGGCATCGATGCCCATGGGATCGGTTCGGCCGAAAAGCACACCAAGACAGAGTTAAACTGTTGCACCATCTGTTGCACCATCTGCTCTTAGTCTTGTAGAAGTTGACTTCTATCTTCTACATCACTCCTCTCAAACCAAGGGAGCGGGAGCTGGACCCGGAATGCCACTGGAACCACGAAGGAACCCCAACGTGCGGATGTGCAACCGCACCGCCCATCCGACATCCGAGAGGCTGCCACCACATGGGCCCAGACCTCATTGTCTCGGTGTGAGCCCGCATACTGCCAGAGGAGCTGGCTGGAGTTGCCCTTCCTCGGAGCCAATGGACACATGGGTCCTTTTGGAACCCTGGAACCGTTGGGTCGGCGTTCGCGGACACTGACGTTGGGCGAGCGAATCTCTGAGGTTCTGATCAACCTTTTTCACTAAGAAGTGGACGGCACTTGCGAGAAAAGTACTGATTCTCAAAAAAATATTCTATTTAAAATTGACAGCTCAGAAGTGCCATCCCATCAATTGAATCCCCTTCAGTAAAAGTGTCCTGCTCATCCAAGCTCGACATCGGAAAATCCTCAAACTCTCAACCTTCGAAGCCTTTGTCCCGACCTTGGAAAACACCACAGAGATCTGTAGAGTCCACACAAGCCCTGCATCTCCTGCCTCTCTCCTCACCGAGCCACGTAATGCCCCGCGCCATGGGGGGAGCCTCCTCTCGCAAGGCTTGCAGGGTCAGATGCTCCGGCCTCGTCCGCGCCCCGAGCAAGGCACTGGCCTCGATGGCCTCGCCCTGGAACTCCCGCGCGAACCTCGGCGAAGAGGGGCGAAGTAAGATGGCCCGAAATGACGTAAGGGGACACAACCATCGATTCACCCAAATCGATTCACGTGGTTTAGTGTTTCGGGTTTGGTGATGCTGATGAACTGTCCGAGTACTTTCAGGAAACGCAACTGTAAACAAACCCCAAAAGATTTGAAAGAACTGATGATTGTGAGGCTCCTTAAAGAGTCGGCTTCGCATCAGAACTCCGGTTCAGCATCTACATGCGAGAACTGAAGGGCTTTCAACCAAGAGAAAGAATCGAGGCGGATAGCCGCTTGGCCCTCTTCAACAACACAGAAAAACCGGTGCCGATACAACAATGTCTTGCTAATCAATTCTTCGAGTTGTATCCTGAAAAGCATCAACTCACTGCCATTTCAGCACAGTTGCACACAAAACATGCCCTTTGATTCTGCCATTAGACTTCATATCTGCACGGTGCTTCAAAGGCAATCACATCACGTTAAAGTCTTCCAACACCTGCAGCATATGATGTATGTTGATGGATATTGGGTAAATCATCTCTGTGTCCAGCTGACTTACAAAGACATCTCCCATCCCTGCAATTCATCATGTTCAGTGCACACCTCGCGGTACCTTTCATTGTCGACCCAAAATAATCAGACGCCATGCTGTTGCGGCACATGTAGATCGAAGAGGCCCAAGTGCCACCGGAGACCGAACCTCACAAGCGAATGGCATGGGTCAAGGAAAGCGAACCGCTGGAAGCAGCTATCCCAGCCGCTGGTAACCCAGGTTGCTGGGCCACCAGAGCTGGTCCGCCTACTTGAAAAAGCCTGATGCATTGATGAACGAAACGTCGCACTGCCTTTGCATCGCTTGCAGAAGAAGTGCCACTATCTATTTGCGGACCACTATAATTATAAACTGAATCACCTTCAATTTCATGGAAGTACATCTCTCACGTTCGGCAATCCTTGAAGACTGTACGATAAATTATCCGTTCGACACAATGAAAGTTTGGGGGTGAAGATTCTTCTCCATTCCTGACAATGCAACTCATCAAAATGTCCTTGTTGAGTCCGAAGACAATGTCAGGAAAACATAATATATCTACTGTCTTGACCCTGGACATTGGGCCAACACACTATTACGCCCGCACAGATTTGGTAGACCAACAGACTCCTGACACCACCCACGCCCACGAAGCACCCCACCCTCAGCCATCCTTGCGCAGTTCAGGCCATGTTGCTGATCCCATCGAGCTGCTCCATGATGCCCATTTCCTGCAACGCCCGGTAGACGCCCATGGTATGTGTCAAAGCTCGTGCCCCGCCGCCCGAGGTGCAAACACAGAAGTTCGCCGCGTGGACGCCTGGGTCGAAAAGCACCAGTGGCGACGTGGGGCCGAGGGAAGCACTCGATGTTGATGGTCACGTTGAGGACGAAAAACCCACATTTGGTGAAAAATCACAGCTGAACAGTTGCAAAACACCGAAAAAACGAATCAAATGCATCGAACAGGTCCTGATTTTTGTTCCACCACACAAACATGCTTGCAAAGTTTGCAAATCGAGAACCCAAAAACCAAAGCCGCCGTGATGTGTTTGCCTTCAACCTGAACATTGACACACAGCGCCGTACAACAGCTCGCCTGGAAATACGGTCATCTCCGAGTTCACCGGCACCACGTCTGCCCGAAGCTTGTACGGTCCCTGCCCCAACGGCATCGTGATGATAGGGGTTGCTGGGCGCACCGTCTTTGGAAGCAAAAATGTAAGCTGCAGGACACAATGATGTCAATGATTCTCAAACATGGTTTTCGTGGGACTGTCCGGACTTCGATCGAATTTTAACCGTTTTTGCCCATCAAAGCTGCACGTGCGGTGCCCAAATGTCTTAGGTTGAAAATGCCAATAAATTTGTCAGACCAAAGTATCTGGCATTCACGCAAAGGCACAAATGCACGGGAAGAGAAGTACCACAAGAAAAAGGTCCCAAAAGTCGTTCAGTTCGTTTGGTGGCCAATGCGTCCACTAAGCTGTCAAGCAATGAAATAACTCAGTTTTTTCGGATCCACATGCAAAGTCAATCAATGTGAATGTGTTTTCCGAAAAACATAAAATAGGCCAAAACAATTGCCAACAGCTGGGCATGGATTTGCCAATTGAGCCCTGCCCACATGTGGCATGTGTCAATAAACCAGCAACGTGTGCAACATGTTTGTTCGACACTGAGGCCTTCCAAAGTGTGATTTTTTCAACGCGTCATGCAAACAATTAACACGGCAATACGTCAGTGTAGCACACAAGATCCCACATATCCCACATATGTGGAATTTAACCTGCTATCCGTTTTTCTAGAGCAATGACCTCCGTGTGCATTCCCTCAAACGTGGCATCCACATTCATGGGATTCAAACTCGCTCTCGATGGTTTCCAAAGAACGATCCATCTTCCTCCAATTGTACTCTGCATGAATCGGCTGTCGAATCTGTGGCAGTTGAAACATGCCTCCCCAAACTTCGTTTGCATTCAGGCGCACAAAACGAGAAGTGTACCTGTTCCACTCAGGTGAACTCGCCATTCGACTAACTTCGTTTGGCTCAAGGTTGCGCGGAGAAAAAGGTCCGTGCATCACAACGCCATGTTGATAAATCGCGCTGGATCGTCTTGAGTGTTCCTGCAGGTGGTCCAATGCAATGGAAGAGCCGCTGCAACGACCTTTCAGATTGAGCGCGTCCTCGCCAAGATCCTCTGCCCGCGGATGCAATTCCACCGGGACCGGCAAGCCAAAGCAGCTGACACCGCCCCAATGCCAAGAACCTCCGCTGCCATGCACAAACATATCGACCTTTAAAGTGCACAGCAACGCAGCAGTTTCTTGAGCCAAAAGCGGAGTCGAACGACACGACGCGAGGCAACATCTTGTCAAGCATGGTATTCCAAACAAAGAAAAAATAGAACCAAGAGAAAAGGCACGAAACGTACAAGCAGAACACAATGCTTTTTTGCTGTGTGACAATTTTGAACAACCGTTATGGGTGGAACTGCTACCCACTGAAGGACCGGATTCGGACGCATTTGATGAGCTTTATACGGAATTTCCCTGACCTCTAGGCATATCAACAAGAAACCATGGCGGGTGCCTTAGCACCAGTCCTGGTAGGCATCCGTCCCTTGTGCTGCCTTCTGGCTCGGAGAGTTAGGACCCATCTCGAAGCAGCTGTCCGGTGAAGTAAAATTTAACCTACTTACACACAGTTAGCAGACGTTGGTTCAAATCCTGCCGCTATGATATCCTCCATGGAGCCTGCCGAATCTTCCGGAGCCAGCACCCCCCCGGAAAGAGAGCCGGTGATGGACTGCTGCTTGGTGCTAACTACTCTGTCGGGTGTGACGCTTAATGTCTCTCTCAGCATTGCAAAATTCGACCGCTTTGCGGACTTGGAGGATCATGTTATGGATTACCTGGTCTCCGTGACTGACCTCAAAGTTTTCGGGTGTTCGATCGAATTTTTGCATTTGGCCACGCAGACCTATCTGGAGGACCCGATTTGGGACAAACTGCAACAGAGTATGGAATACTGCATCATTTTCAAGGATTGCAGTGAATTCCTGCCCTCGCAGGAACTCCTAGAAGGGTATCCTATCGACAAAGTTCCGCTTGCTGTCCATGTCCCCATGAATCCAGAAAGCGCTGTCCCCGAAGGGGCTTTCGCAGGAGTGCCACGCCTACGCCATTTCAGCGTAGAGTCAGGTATTCGCCTTATTGGCCCAGAAGCATGGCACTCATGCCGTCAGCTCCGAATTGTCAAGCTGCCGTCCACAGTCGTTAGCATTTCTGACAACGCATTTCGAAGCTGTAAACTGCTCAATAGTGTCACTGCCCCTGGTTGCCGAGAGTTTGGCTACAAAGCTTTTGATGAGTGCTGCTCACTGCAGTGGGTCCATACTGAAGAAATTGCCAATCGGTTTAGCAGCCTCACCAAGTTTGGGCATTACCTCTTTAGAGGCTGCATCAACCTTGCCGAATTTACCCTGCAAGAGAGTCCCTCCCCAAACGAGCTGCCGTCACAACCCACTGCCAGGGAATTGGCCCTAGGTTGCCTCAGCTCTACAGGGATAGCTACACTAACGCTAACGCAGGGCTTTAAAGTCATTGGAGCGCATGCTTGTGACAATTGCCACCTGCTCAAGAATGTTGACCTTTCTAACACACAAATCGAGGAAATACAAGAATTTACCTTTGTGCACTGCACGAGCCTCAAAGAAGTTCGTCTCCCGAAGACACCATACGATTCGAGTTAAGGCCTTCATGAATTGTGCTGCCCTGCCAGAACTTGCTTTACCACCCTCACTTAAATACATAGCGAGTAGAGCTTTCTTGGACTGCACTGCTTTCAAGAGGCTAGTCAAGTTGCCCGGCCGGCACAAATGGCGAGGGGTTTATGCTGAAGAAAATGCCTTCGCCATTTGCCCAGATATGCGATGGCCGCCATGGCTACACGTGATTCCGGACACAGGGTATGTCTCTGGTTTAGCCTGAAATGCCCCTGTCCAAATGTAACAGCCTGTGGTTTTCCCACAATCCATCCAGGCTGGGCGCGAGTCTTAGCTCGGGGCCCGGCCAGGTCAACTTGCGCCCTTGTGCCCGGCACAAACCATTCGTCCGTGCAGTTTCTAAGCCAAGGGAGTAGATGGCCACTAATGCACTGTACTAGGGCGTGATGAAACTACACATACCTACCCTGCAACTCTAACGGCTCAAGCTAGTGACTTCAAGCTAGTGATGTGCCAGCTGATACGTCTAGGCCCAGTCCTCACTGATGTGAAGAAGGGATGGTGGCACAGACCTGCACCTTCCTCACGCTAGCAGGAGAGAAGCTGTCCATTGAGGTAGATTTGAATGCACATACCGGCATTCGGGGTTTTGAAAATGCCGTATTAGCAGAGCTCCCCTACTTAGGATGTAGCAGCACCAGCACACATGTGTGAGGTCAGCCTTAGCTGACATCACCATTGTTGCCTTTCGTTTGCTTGTGGCGCTCAGGGCAACTGCCAGCCTTAGTTGGCGGGGGCTGCATTCGTATCTTCGAGCAGAGCAACAATCATGTCACATGACCCGTGGATGGAGGACAGTAATTCACTGGACCTAACGGAAGGGTTGGAGGACAGAGTCCACGTGCCTTTTGTATACACACGTGATCATGCGGAGTGGCTGACAGCAGATGGCCAGGCCAGCTTTGCCAGGGGTACGGAGGCTAGTGTGGACCAGTCCCAGGAGGAAGCATATGCAGCGATGGCTATGAAAGACACTCTCAGCAGTCCTTTCGGCCTTGATTCTGCCTGCCCTACTCTGGGTTTGTCCGATGTTCGAGCTCAGCCACCCAAAAAGGACGAGGGGTATCCCACTCTTGAAACAGAGGGGGATTTGCCTGATACTACTGCCATCATTCGAACACTAATGTCACACCGTGACTTGATCATGAATAATCAAATGATCTACTTAATAGTGGACAATCGCATGCCAGCAGATGTCCCGCATTGGCCAGCTTTTGCAGCATGGTGGGCTTCACGTAGGTGCCTAGTAGGTCCCCAGGAAGAAACAACTGACATACTTTGGGTGTGTGCGGATGCTACTACTGGACTCCACAAGGTTCCATACTACTGGGCAGGAGTTTTTGTGTTAGAGGTAGCGCGTTTCTTGTATCCGGCGCAACACTTTGCACTCATTGACAATGACTGTGTACCAGTCACGCTTTTTGAAGTGCAAGATCTACTGCAGCTGGCGCATCAGCAGCACCAGTGGGTCGATCTGCTGGGGCGTGCACGCTCAGAGTCTAGCTCCTGTGCAGGAATTGGTATGCTCCTCTTCACAGAGGCTCACTTGGAATATAATGCAGGACTGGTCGTTTCAATCGGCAATCGCAGCAAGCACAGTCCGCTAGAGCATGATGCTACTGCTTCGACCCTGGCGAAGAGCCTCCAGGCGGGCCGCCTTGCCTTGGTATCTAGAGCCAGACCACCAGTCAATCCAAGCGATACAGTCATCAGTGGCACTATGTTTACCCCTTTTGTTGGTGTCGCAATGCAAACCGCCCTTGACCTATGTATGGTCTGGTCCTTATATGGGCTTTACATGTGTAAGCACTTTTGGCCTAGCCCTGTTACCACCCCGAATGAACTTGGTCCAGACAGCACGATCAAGTGGCCACGGCAATCCCATCCCAGGGCCCTCACCCCTGCGGGAAGAGAGCGAACGCCGTGGGTCA